CAGTCCAGCCAAAATGCATGGTCGAAGAAACCTCCACGAGAAGTGTTACAAGTTCACAAAGACAAGGCCGAGGAGACAGCTCGGGCATGGGAAGCATTTGCCTTTGTCAACACGGCGAACATGCCATAGATGCTTGTGCTTAGTACTGGCCACAGCCACTGCAAGTAAGAACGAAAACACGTATACTTAGCATTCATGCCACACGTCACGGTTGTACGTGTGGGTCGGGTTTGTGAGGTTTGGCTGGACTTCAGAGTACTCTAGACCCTGATGCTAAAGGCCTAAAGCCCTGCTAAATCCTAAACGTATCCGAAAGCTTGAACCCGAACACCTTAAAGCTTAAATCCCGAAGCCTATGGCTTCTGCATTTTTTGGGTGTAGGCTTTAGGATGAACCCTCAGCCCTGAACCCTAAACNNTTATTTAGGGTACCCCAAAAAAGACCATAATTTTGACAACTACCCACATGGACCCTTAGGGAACAAGACAAGGTGCGTTTGCTTTGTAGCAGGAGGTCAACGAGACTGTCGCCAGGGCCAATACTAGGAGGACGCTTTCCCCGTTGTTCCAAGCCTCCACTTGCCAGGGTTTAGGGTTGAGGGCTTATGATTCTAACAAAGATCATAGGATTAGCATGAGAGTCATCGTCATCGCCACCCTCATCACGATCCTCATCACCATCATCATCACAGACATCATCACCATCACCATCACAATTATCATGGAATTCTTCTCATCTTTAATTAATCTTCACCATCAGGACCATCGACAGAGCATGATCTAAACTAACCAGACGACAGACCAGATGCTGCGTTTTCGGGGGAGGGGGCTCTGTGCATGTGCGCAAGCGAAGCAGCTTCGGCTTCTCGTCGCAAGTCGTCTAGCATCGCATTCAGGAGTCAGGACGAGTCAGGTAGGGCTGGGGGATGCTTGGAGGTTGGCGGGTTAGCGCATAGGTCTGACTGTCTTCCAAGAGCGTCAAGATGATCGGAGCGGGCTCAAGCATCGAAAACCTAAGCTCTACTCCCCACGGCCTCCACAACCTAAACATCGGCACCTGACAGCCCTGGATCCGAAACTGCATCCCCTACACGTCCCTCAACCTCGAGCCTTCGAGACGTAAGGGGCGCATCGGTGGTTCATGACCAGTGAGATCAGCAGGATCATGCTGATGCACTCCATTTGCATCGAAGCGTGTAGCCTTCATTAGGTGCGCTCCACAGAACCGATGCTTGGGTAGCCAACCGAGGCACGAGAATACACTTCCGACTTCTGGCCCGCAGCAGTCGCACCAGTGGCCATCAACCACAAAAGTCACCAGGACCACGAATATGTCTGCTGGAGCAGATCATTGCGCGAAACTATGGCCCTGATGATGTTTCGTGCCTACGAGATTGGGACGATGCTTTAGGATCTTCTTGTACAAGAGCTAGGCATGGATCGCGCTGAAGTGACTGCCCGAGAACTCGGGAACAAAGAACCCTACCGTGGGCAACGACCGTCGAACGACGACTCCGGCGATTTCGTGAAGCGACAATGGCTGGTTTGGAAGTCGCTGCTTCGTCGGCACGCTCTATCAACTAAGATATGCTAATCATGTTCAATCAACATTAACGATGATTATTCTGCAGAGGAACAACAGGCCACCAGGCGGTTTAATCCCGTGCCGAGACACATAGCTGAGTTACCACAAGGTCGCATGCGAGTGAACATATGTATTGAAACGAGACATGTACAGGCACACACACACATGTACTTCTGTACTAACAGAATCACAAATAAATGATGTGCAAAACATACATACTTACATACTCACAGACTTACATACTTACATACTTACCTATGTACATACATACATACATACGTACATACATCCATCCATGCATGCATCCATGCATACAAGCACACATGCATACAAACATATATGCATACAAACAAACAAACAAACATACATACATACATACATACGTACATACTGACAGACAGACAGACAGGCAGGCAGGCAGGCAGGCAGGCAGGCAGACAGACAGATTCACAGAGAGACAGACAGACATAGAGACATACAGACATACAGACACACACGCACACACATATACGTGTTTACACACGCACATACATACATACATACATACATACGTACGCTCGTTCGTACGTACATACATACATACATATATATATATATTACTGTCCCCCCCGAGACCCACCTCCAAAGCCTGTTTACATCAACTTGCCCTATCTTGCCCTGCACTATACACGATTCTGCCTACTCTGTACATATACAAACATACACTTGCACATCTTGGTGCGCTTTAATATATTTGACTCTACGCATGAGCTTTGTTAACAAATACCAGCATTGAAACCGGCATTGAAAAATTGAAGTTCAATGCAGCCAGGCCCGTGGAACCAAGAACCAAAATGCCCAGGACTCTTGAACCTTGGGTCTTGGTTCCTTGGCCCGGGTGCATTATGGCATTGAAGTTCAATTTTTCAATGCAGATCTCAATGCAGCCAGACCTCTGGAACGTAGAACCAAGGTTCAAGAATCCTGGGCATCTCGGTTCTTTTGGTTCTTGGTTCCACAGGCCTGGTTGCATTCAAGTAGAATTTTTCTCAATGCTGGTTACAATGCAGACAGGCCGGTGGGAACCAGATACCGAAAGAAACCCTATAGATCAGGATTTAAATAGGAAAATCAGGAGGATGAGTGAAATCAGGAATAACGGAAAATAGCCTCTAGAATACCTTGCAAAATACCCTTTTTACAAACCTTCCAGAAGTTCATACAAAATACAGTAATACCTTATAGAATATCCCTATATACCTTGTATAACCCAAGATCATATGAATGAAATGCGGAATCTGGGATCTAGGAACTCATTGAAATTCTGAAAAATCGAAGATTACCCAGAAATGGATACAGACAGAGAACAGAGCCCTTATAACATACCCCTATACGCCCTAGACCTTACGGAGTACCCTATAGAATACCCTATAGAATGCCGTATAGAATACCATCTGGAAAATCCTGCAGTAGAATACCTTACAGAAGACCGCCTATGTAATATACCCGTTGTATACCTCAAACATACCTCCTAGAATAGCCTCTAGAATACCTTGTAGGATAAAATTTAGCATAACTTATAGAATGCCCTATCAGTATAATTGCGCGCGGCATCAGCGTGAGAAATGATGTGCAATACTTAGTATCTTTATCTTGATTCGAACGGTGTTGTGTCGTCGTAGACAGGGTATACTAGGCAATTCTTCGCATCTTCATCTTGGTTTGAACGGTGTTGACTCATCGTAGACAGGGAATACTAGGCAATGCTTAGCATTTGTATCTTGATTCGAACGGTGTTGTGTCATCGTAGACGCTGCGCAGTAGGCAATGCTTAGCTTCTGTATCTTGATTCGAACGGTGTTGTGTCGTCGTAGACAGTGAATATTAGGCAATGCTTAGCATCTGTATCTTGATTCGAACGGTGTTGTGTCGTCGTAGACAGTGAATATTCGGCAATGCCTAGCATCTGTATTTCGAACGGTGTTGTGTTCTCGTAGACAGTGAATGTTAGGCAATACTTAGCATCTTTATCTTGGTTTGAACGTTTGCAGGACACAAGAGTTTTGTTCGGAGTGGAGTCGCAACGCAGTCTAGAAAGTACAAGAGGAGGTCGGTCTCGGAGGGGTAGCATATATACATATATATTTTTTTCCATCGCAAGGCTCTAGGTAGGGAGAAAGAGAAACGCAAAGACCATAGAACTTCTCAGCTGCTTTTTTACAATAAACTCGTGCGAAGCTCTCTCGGACTGCTCCAACTCTCCAGGAGATAGAGCTCAGATTATCCTCTACTATGGTTCTCCTTTGTATAACAACCTTACACTTAGAGTATCCCTTATTACAACTCCCTTTATGAGCATGCCCCTTGCCCTGATACAAATACCCCAGACACCGATTCCCCTTCTGGCACCCAGTATAGTGAGGTGAGCAGCGTCACGGGAAGGATGGCATTCACGGCCATGAGCGCCATTTTCCGCAGGAGGACCTGGTGCTGTTCTTTGCAAAGAACAGAAGGGCTTAAGCCCTGAACGAAGGTCCAATGAACGATCACAAAAGTACCATCCAGCGGCATAACTACGCATCATAGTCCGGTCGGCTCGGTACGAGCTGGATGTCTTCACAGATGCAGCCCGCGGCACGGTGATCTCCCACATCCGGCATTCCGTGGTATATGCGTTGGTGAGGTACATCACACCTTGACAGGGAGCAGGAAGACTTCGCGAAGCAAAGTGTCATTGGCCATCCAGTATGTACCCACTCATGAAAAGAGTCAACACCTCCAACCTTGCAGTGAACAATGTCACAATGGAGCCAACCCCGGGAGCGAAATACCGCTGAACAAGTAAAAAAAACCTTTAATACTTACAGGGCTTACATGGGCTGATTCTTATGGTTAGAGGCAATATAGGGGCAATTTATAATTAGAATAGGGCTTTCAGGGACACTATACTATGGTTGTACTAGGGAACCCCCAAGATAGTATTGGTATGATTTGGGCCCCTTTGTCACATTCCTTCATGCAGGGGTTAGTCTGTCTGGGAGTGTTGTGAGGCTTTCAACCCTGCCTGGGCTCGAGCTGTCGCCTCGATACCTGAGAAGCACCTCAGCCAGTGACTGGACGAGGAAGTGTTTTGGGTTTATGGCAAAGCACGGTATGATATCTTCACGGGCATCATGCACAGCAAACAGTACGAAGACGAGCGCTTGTCGTCGCTCCTTCGTCGTAGTGTAATAGTAGCAGTAACAATCTGCGTCGTAACAATTACAATCGTCATGCTCCTCTCATTCATCTCACTCTTGACGCTTTTCGGCTATCATGTGCGGGTCTGTATCCGAGGGAAGTGCGGCCCACATGCCGGCGCCGACCAGGAAGCACACAACCATCATCACCTTATCACGAAAGCAACAACTCAACATGACCTTTGGGATGCTGCTCCTGCCGGCCGAGAAGATACAGCTTCCTTGCATCAAAACGCTTCAAAAAAAAGATCAGCGCAACTCAGACCCTGTTTGGTTCCTTCTTCGTCTAGACCCGGCACAAAAGACAGACGCCAGTCTGCAGCCGATATCAGCCGATGCCGTATTAGCTCCAACAGGCTTGCATGACGTACACTTGATCACACCGTCAATTATCTTTATGGTCATCCCACTTGCGATCTCTGCATAACACTAGAACTGGTAGGTACCGGAGAAGCTTCCAGAAGGAAGTCCATATGTTTGCAGACAAAGAGCAAGCAAGCCGATCATAGCATCCCGAGTCATTTGGAAAGGCTATCTGGGTTTTGCCCACTGCAGTCTTGATAAAGATACCCCGGGGCCCGCGCACATGCCATCGGCTTGGGAATGTGGGCCTCAGAGGCTGCTAGGGCTTCAGCAGCCGGCGGGCCTGGTGCTTCCAGAGGTTCCCCAAAGTTCCGTGAGGATCCTTAGTGCCCTTCAACCACCTTCCCTTGAGCATCCTAGAGCATGGAGAAACCTTAAACCCTATAAACCCTAAAACCCTCCCATAAGGATCCGATAACACATGAAAAAACCCTAAACCCTAAACTCCCTAAACCCTCCCTTAAGTATCCTAAAATATGGGGAATGCAGGGTCTCCGTCCCTGAGGCTCAGGAGTCGAACTCGCAGAAGAAGTAAGATACGTAAGATAGGGGCCGTAGTAGGTCTTTCTGGGATAGTTTACACTATACTTATAGTGAGGAGCCCGCGTATGCGTAAAGTGTCCAGCGGGTGTTCCGAAGGACCGAGGAGACAAACGTCCAAAGGTTTGTTGCATTCCTCTAGCCGCTCTAGCCTCCACCTACCCTCCCTTCTGCCCTAAATAATAATAACTCCGCCCAGTTTACGGTGCAGATAAAGCCTGATAAAGCCCTGATTGTGAGTCCTTCACTTAAGGCAGCAGGACCCCCGACAGAAACTACCATGCCCGAGATTGAGTAATATAATATAGCAGCCTAAAGAACTAGACTACCGGCGTACGAGGTTCTAGCACTAAACAAAATTATAAGTATTCTGAGAAAATCTGGGCCTTGACGTAACTCCAAACCTGACAACTCCACAAACCCCCAAGCCTTAAACCCTCAGTTTGAAAACCCTAAACCCAAAGTCGCCAAAACCCGGTGAAACCCCAAAGACCTACAGAAGCTGTATATTCAGAATAGAGTTATCTTCTAGTTACAGTATAGTTGTATGAAAATGATTTTTCCAGCTAGAGGAACGTCCTCTTCGAAGCCGCAGACCATTTCACCTCCCTGGGCCTCCGGAACCAGGGTTTAGGGTTGAAGGTTTAGGGCTGGTAGGGCTTGACGTTGAGAATGAGGGTTTAAAAGCTTAAGGTTTAAAGTTTACGGATTTAGTGGTGTGGGGGCTTGTGGTTTGTGGACGACGCTCGATTGTGTGTGTGTGTGTACACACACACACATATGTATAT